AGACGTCCTCATTTTGGATTGTTTTTTCGGTTTTAGAAAATACAAGAGGAGGAAAGTCTTTTTCCGGAGAGAGGCCGGACGACCTTGGTCCAGGCGCCGATCAGGAGAAAACGAAAGTGAAAAGACAGGCCCATTACGTAACCCCAAGCCGAGGGTGTGTTCCTCCGGCTTGCACCGCTCCTCTGCAGGACCTCTGGCCGCTTTACAAGAATATATAAATAATAATTAATTATCAAGGCATTAAAGAATACCAGTGTCCTTAGAGTCGGTTGTACATTTACCATCTTATTCTATAACAGTTTTCTATCTTAAGACCAATTCTTTTAATCCTTTTCTGAATAAATTCTTTGGTTTTTAATTAATGAAAGCTAACACCTCTTTTTACTTTCACTTACGTATATATGTAATATATAGTAAGAGTAAGTATTGCGATCGTGAAAATTTTCTAATCTCAGTTTTCAACAGAAATACATGTTTTGAGATCCCTGAGTCCAAATAAACAAGTGTCGTAAAATGTTCTGTGTTAACATTCTAGCTCATAAACGAAAAGTAGTACGAAACAGATATTAATTATTTAAGGTTTGTATATGGGTTTGTATACATCGGCCCATATCATAACGCTGAAACACATTTTTACAATTTTCTCAAAAACGGCTCTAACGATTTTTATTAAACTCGGTGTATCATTGTATAATTAAGTGGTCTTTAATATCATTTAGGTCTTATCCCCGTTGATTTCACCTTACAGGACTTAAATGCCCAATGTTCCTCTAAAGTATATATATATATATATCAGTTTATATTTGGAAAAGTCAATTATCTAAAATTTGTTAAAATCTAAACAGTCAATGCTTCGCCAATTGAGACATCATCAGGACATAAACATACCAAATCACAAAGACATCAACAGCACATAAATTCTTATCAACTAGACAAATACATCATATAACACATAAACTATGTTTGCATTTTGATGTTATGGAGTGACCATTGAAATTAATCAATTACCTGGTATATGTCTACGATAATCGATTTTAAATTGTTTGAGATATGAAATATTTAGGTAATTAATTAATTACTATTTCTCCCATAGACAAAGTAATATTCTCTAAAATGCTTCTACCGGCCTTATACTTCGCTATCATCCAAAATTCCTCCGAATTCGGCCCTGACCAATAAAAAGCGAAAACGAAATACGGTTAATAGATAAATATGTTCAAGAGTCTTAAATCGTAAATAAGACGTTTATATATAAGATTTATATATATTTATATAAGACGTAAATAAGATGTTCTTAACTCAAAACAATATTTTTTAATAATATTAATAACAGATGGATTAGCGAACCCGAAGGTTCCACAAACAAGGTCTACATACAACCACCGATCGTTATCCGTTTTCTGTGATGATGCAAAAAGGCTGAAATTTGCTTATTTTATTATTTTCTGTTGAAATAAGAATAAATGAACTATTTTTTGTTGCAATTTAGAATAATATTGAAAACTAATTTAGTTTTTTTTAATGCACTAACCTGAGGAACTATTTATCTGGTTTAGAAAAAAATCGGAGTCAGACTGACCATAAATATTAGTCAATTGGGAAAACGGTTTCATATTTCCTGAACATAGCCGTAAAATATCGTTTGTATTTAATAAAATTAAACAGATGGACAAATATTTAAGCATAACGAAATCTAATGAAGATAACATATTGTTTTCAATGTTTATAATAATAACATATAATAGCCTTATTTCATATCAGACAGAAGCGACCAACAACTTTTTTACTTTCACTTACGTATATATGTAATATATAGTAAGTGTAAGTATTGCGATCTAGAAAATTTTTGAATCTGAGTTTTCGACGGATTTATACGTTTTGAGGTCGAAATTACCAAGTCCCGACAAATGGTCTGTGTGTCTGTATGTGTTTGTATGTTAGCAGTCTAGCTCAAAAACGAAAAGTCCTATAAAATTGATATCACGCATTTAAGATAGGTATATGCCCTAGTTGTGACGGCAACTTTTTCCTTAAATTCAGCTAACCGGAAGTGCCACTTTAAAACGACGTTGAAACACATTTTCACAGTTTTCTCAAAAACGGCTCTAACGATTTTCATGAAACTCGGTGTATCATTGTATAATTAAGTGGTCTTTAATATAAAATAGGTCTTATCCCCATTGTTGTCACTTTACAGGGCTTAAATGCCCAATGTTCATATACGTCTTCCTCTAAAGTACCTTTAATATGGTTTATTTTAAAGAGATAATTATTTCGCATTATTCAGAGTTACGAAAAAATGCTAAATATAACTTTTGAAAGAATTTGATAAGTTAATAAAGGAGAAAAAAAAAAAATGCAGAAAAACGTAGCTATAGACTGTAGCGCCTAAACGAATGTACCGATTTCATTGAAACTTCGCTAAAATCATTTTCTCGACCCCCTTCAAATTTATTTATATAACATTCATCAGCGAAAAGAAGCTGAAAAAAAGTTACGAGGGATGGTAAAATTAAATTCCGAATAACTCAAAAAGTATACACTTTTTTTGGGAATGTTGTATATGGTTTTCTAAAAGTTTATAGAATAGCCTAAAAAACAAAAACAAAACTCGCTAAAATCGGATAATTAGGAGATAAGATATGGTCTCTAGTTTTTTTTTAATACGTTCTGCTGCAATGGTTATATCCTTTGTTTCGGTTTTTGAATTTTGAATGTGTTAATAAGGTAATGCTAATTTATAACATTTTAAAACATTTTATAATAGCCTAACATGGCCAGAAAATAATTTTCATTCAAAGTTCAAAGAGTAAGTGAAAGTTGTGTGTTGTGCGCACCAGATTTTTTCCTTTAAAATAATATAATTTTTTTTATATTATTTTGTCGGGACGCCATATTTTTGTTAATTAATCACCGAATTCAATGAGAAATAAATGTTGAAGATTTGTTTTTCCTTCAGGTGGAAAAAATAGTCAAATCCTCCAGAATTTTCAGGAAAAATATTATGAAAGAAAAGACACTTTAGTCGCGAATAACTTAAAAAAACTACAAGAAAAGGAGTTGGTCGGCGGGTGCGGTCAAATAAAAACTACATTTTTAAAAATAGTATTTTAATCGTTATGCCGACGTTTCGAACCACTTTGTATGTCTTCATCAGGGCGTGGAATAGGGCACTGCAAGTAGCAGTTGGTCGACTGTCAATCAAATGCTACTAAATTAAAATACTATTGTAAAAATTTAGTATTTATTCTACCGCACCTCCCGTCTTCCATCCCTCCGACCAACTCATTTTCATGTTATATCACGGTCAACCATCTCTACACCATTATGAAAAACTATACATTTTATGGTCAGTTTTTTACGTTTTTTTTTAAACGTAGTTATTGAGGGATATTACAATATGTCACAATTAAGGACATTTATAATAGTGTTCAAAGAGCACATTCACAATAAATAATACAGAAAAATAATAATACTAAAATTAAATGTATATAAACTAAAAGAAACTAAGCTAATGAAAATAATTAATCCAATACATACATGCTTCTATACAATATAAAAAAAATTCAGTCACTCAAGGTCTCCGAGCCAAGTCTTTCTCCCCACTCGTGGAAGGAAAGGCAGGACTCTAGGAGATCCCAGCGGTCCACACTCAGCTGCGCCACTGGTATTTAAGACCAGTAGAGGCTGAGCAGAGGCGCTATAATTTTATGGTCAGTTGAATTCCATTTTAATTCGAAAGATTACTAAATTCTCTAGAAAATTGAAATCAATCATCGAATGCGGACCATTAGAACCGATACACTCGTAGCTTAATGTAATTTGTAAAAATGTTGGTTACAAACATGAATGAACTGTTAAATTTATTTTATTTTGATTGGTCGATTTCAATTACCTAGAAAATAAATATCGATTCCTTCATCTTTTGTTCCGTTGAATTTTTGTATTTTCTTATTATCTTTTCATTCGTTAAGTGATCAATTTACCATGTGAATTATACACGGTAAAACTACTTTATTTTAATAAAATAATATATTCTTTATTCGAATGTTTACGTAATTATATCTGTACCAAGATGTAAAGAACACAACGCCACCTTTTTGTATTTGTTCGGGGAGCCAATTTTCCATAACTTTTCGCTATTAAAATTTGTTTCTTAGCTACTAAATTATTTTATTTGAAAAATGGATATAGTGTCATTTACCTCTAGGGCACAGATAGAAGAAAATTTATTTTACAATAATTTCTTTTAATTTTATTTAAACGAAATATTGACTTAACTCTTAGGCTCTATAAGTCATCTGTAACAGAGTAAGCCTCGTCCACTGTTTTGCGTTATATTGTTGTTATAATCTGTAATATAGTTTTTACTGTCCTACCTATACTAGGTAAGGAAAGTATTGCAATCGGGTCAAATTTCCGACATGCGGTTTTTGACGAATCTATACGTTTCAGAGCTCCCTGATTCCGAAAAACACATTTTTAGCCATTGTCTCTGTCTGTCTATGCCAAGATTTTCTTGGGAACTACTGAAAAAACTATTAACTAAGTTACAGCTCTTCAATTTTCAATGTAAGATTACGGGTTCATATCCTAGTGTCAGAAAGGAGTGAATGAGAGAATAAAGATGACTAAGTGAAAGTCAGAAAATCTGTTAACAGAAATTATTGTTTGACAATACTAAGCTATGGCAAAAAGTTTTTGATCAGCAATAATATTAAGTATTGAAATTTTTACACTGATCTACCTACCATAAACCGGTTTACATTGTTTAGTTTATCAAATAAATCGTACTCAAATCTTTCATTTGATCAATTTTCAGGAAATTAAATCTAGTTCAATTCTTTTTTGTTTCTTCATGAACATATGTAAAGATAAAAACTTTTCTGAAATAGGTAGTAAAGTTATGTGAGTGGACACACCAGATATTTTTATTACTAATTTATTTTTAAATTTACCAAACAACTCTCTTAATGTATTTGTTTTATTTCTTTGCGCAGGAGATGAATTATTCAGGGTAAAGAGGCAGGATAACCCAGAACCTGTCAAGAAAGAAGAGAGCTTCGAGACCGAACTCTGCAAGGACAAGGATGCCGGCGAGTGGTTCAGGCTCGTAGCGGGCGAAGGAGACAACTGCAGAGATGTCATTCAGTGTACCTCCAGTGTGAGTACTCTTTTCATATACTTATTAATAAGGATAATGATTATATATAAGAAAATGTGAAATGAATGGCAGGATTTTCTTATTCATAGTATCTTTTTTTTATTATTATTTCTTAATGATATTTACAACTGTATTATATAAATACATCTAATAAATTAGAACATATGGATGTATTGACATGAAAACATTTGCTGAGTAACTACCCAATGGTAGCACTCTAATGATATGTCTACATCCGGAGGTCACGGGGTCATCTTGTTTTCAGACGCCTCGGAGGGTTATCAGGAATTGAAGAGGAAGCAAGGTTAGAAACGAGAGGGTTGGGATGATTCTGAAATTTATTATGGAAGGATATGTTTCAGGATTGGACCAGATCTGTAACATAAGGAACATTAAGATCATTATGGATAATATTATTAGTGACGAAGTAAGGAGCATTGAGGATTTTACGAAGGATTTTGGATTGTAAGGATTGGACGCGAGAAGAATTCGATGGTTTAGTGGAGCCCCATAGCTCAACTCCGTAAGTCCAAATAGGCCTTATTATAGTCATGTATATGAGTCTTTTGTAATTATTTGGAAGTTTAGAGCGCTTGTCTAGTAAATGCTGAAGTAGTCGGAAACGTCGAGCGGTTACTTGTCGTTTCAGTCTGGTATGAGGATATCCATAGTATCAAATCTTGAAAAATATTTCATGAATTTATTCTTAATTACTTCGAACTAAAGATTTATTCATAATCCGAAACTGTTGTTAATGCTTTTAATTATGCTTCTAATGATCAAATTATATATCATTTATACTTCTACGAGACACATGCCCACCACTATAAATCGGCCACAGCCAAATTCCACAGATAGACACTACGTTGTCTTGGATTAATACTCGACAAAATGATGACATGGGACCCACAGGTCAAAATGAAAAGACAAACCTTACAAAAGAGGCTGACTTACAGAAATTAACTTTACATGCCGAGTTACGACGACCAACTCATTTAGGACATACCCATCAAGAGGCGATTGAAGAGGTGCTGGATGAGAGACCTTTCCTGAATTAAGGAAGTAAACCAAGACCAGGAAGATTTACTGCTGATGACTAGTATTCTTCCTCATGCCTCTAACGCCATTTTTCTTAAGAATATCAACAAATCTGCTTATTGTTAAACTTATAACAGGTGTGGATGAAGAAATGAAGAGGAATGAAAAAAATAAGCTAAAATTAGTTTCTCATAGAAAAAATTTTTGTCTCGAAAATATAATTGAAATCCTAGAATCTTTTAACAGTCCATAACTTTTAAAGCAAAATTTACACTAAAATTAATCGTAACAACGACAAAATTGGTTTTGCTATAACTAGAAAAAATATGTAGTAAAAGAGTTTCAGGACTTAAAATAAAAAAAAAAACTAATATAATAAACTTATTAAGAGACAGATGTTGGATTTTAGGTTATAATTAGGAAAATTACAACCGCACAGTCTTATCTCTCTAAAATGCAGGTAAAGAATAAAATAACGTTTAACCGTCAACGTTTTGCCAATTTAGGCATCGTCAGGATGGAAAAGAAAAGAAACCCTAGATCACATTCTTTTATGACAATCGCATAGTCATGAGTCATGGAGTGAGTGATATGATCTTGGGTTTTCTTTTCGAAATCTGATTACCAAAGAATTTTCAAAATGGGATTATCAAAATGTGATTATTAAAGAATTATCAAAATCGGATTATCAAAAATTATCAAAATCGGATAATCAAAGTAGATACTTAATTTAAAATGATATAAAAATTGCACAAGGTAACGAATATAAATCTGTATATATATATCAGTTAAACATAAACACATTCCAAACAAATCCATGATTTCTGAGAAAACGTCTGTATCTTGCGAATTCCTTAGAAGTATTCTAGGACACAAATTTACCCTCTCCAAGCAAGTATTAAATGCCTTCATGGCGTTTCTAAGACTTGTCTATAATGAAAAATATATGTAAAGACACATTTCAGTGAACTAAAAAACGTCTTCCATAACTGTTTTTGAATCAACCCAACCTTATTGGTATTAAAATCTGCTTTTTCATCCGTGTTGAAAAATTATTAAAGAAAAACATTAACTTTGCAGCTAATATATTCTCGGAAATTGGGCACAATTAAAAATATTTCCTCAACTTCTGGATGACTGCCTAGTTTAAATGTTTTCCGTTTCAAAACACCAAATACATTTTGGACATAACCACTCGAATAATTCCAGTAATATGTTCTGAGAGGCATTTCCAGTCAAATTTAAATATTAACTGAAACGACAAGAAACTGCTCGACGTTTCCGACTGCTCCAACACTTACTAGATAAACGCTCCAAACTTTCTATTAATTACAAAAGACTTATCTACATAACTATAATAAGACCTATATGGACATACGGAGTTGAGCTTTGGGGCTCCACCAAACCATCGAATTCCTATCGTATCCAATCCTTAAAATCCAAAATCCTCCGTAAAATCCTCAATGCTCCATACTTTGTCACAAATAAAACCATTCATAAAGACCTTAATGTACCATTTGTCGCTGATTTAGCTCGAGCCAGATATCTATCCTTTCATGATAAACTTCAGTCCCATCCAAATCCGCTTGTTTCCACTCTTGCTTCTTTCTCGATTCCTGATAATCCTCCTAGGCGTCTGAAAAGGAGATGGCCTCGTGATCTTCTTACTTAAAATTATTTAGAGAGTGCTACCACTGGGTAGTAACTCTTCAAGCCTGTACATGCCATTATTTATATTTTCGCATATTTACTTGTTGTATTTGTATACAGTTGTAAATTCCATTAAATAAACAAAAAAAAAAAATTCTTTTTTGTTCGGGTTAGCGAGACTGTCCTGTATATCTAAAGAAATAAACATTACCAAGGATTGTTTTTTTTTTTTCAATATACTCAGTTATAATTAATCCAGGCTCTCTTACCTCAAGGCTGATAGCCCAGAATGAGGAAGAAATCTCTTTCGTAATGCGTCACGATGAAGAAATAATCCGTTATTTAGATATATTCTCTCATTTAATAACAGTTATATTATTTTATACATGTTTCTCATACAAAGTTCCTCCTTTCTTATTAAATGGATATTAATTATTTTACCCGAGTATGACGTATGGTGAAAATCGACTTTATTTGAAAAAAAAAAAAAAACAACCTTGCTAATGTCATTTTTAAGTCTTACAGAAACATAATTTTGATACCATCTTAATTACGATTAAATTTGTTAGTTAAGAGAATAATTTCAACTGTTCTTACTATTGATGCAGTGGAAAAGATTATGAGACACACATTTCGAAAAGAAAAATCGAATTGTTGATATAATACAATTAAGCTATTTTGAGATTTTAAGGACAGCTAGAGGGTAATGAGATTGTTTCTTGACGTTAAATAAATTAATTTTTATCATAATATAAAAATATGAAGAAATATCTGATTATTTTTTCAAGATATTGAACATTATCTTTCTGAGGAATTTGAACATTGTCGAGGTAAATAGTAGGGCAAGTTTCACGTGGAAGGGTAAAAGTCTTGGTTGAGTTGAATTTTCCAGAGTTTACAGTCGTGGAATTCGTTTAGGTAATGTTGTAGAGTCTGTGAGGTGTATATTGAATTTTGATGTCTTGTTAACATTGTTGTATCGTCTGCGTAAGTGGCGTTCAGAGTATTGACACTATCTGACGTATAAATGATATATAACAGAGGAGCGAGTAATGAGCCCTGAGGCACTCCTGCTAAGGCTGGTTTAATGGAAGAAAGTTCTGTTCCTTGGCAGAAAGAAAAAAAAACTGTCAGAAAGAAAAGATAGTAGGTTGGACGAAGTATCGTCTAAGGTTAAAAAGAAGCCTCTTATGCCAGACTTAAATTATTTATTTATATTATTATCATTATTATTAAATTTACCTATTAAATTATTACAGCTGCGTGTAAAAAACATCTGTTATGAATTTTAACTTTTTCACTGAATTCCTCCAAATTTGGTTACTATTTTAATTTTAACTGAAGTAATTAATCGTTTTTTTAAATTAAAAAAAAATATGAGGAGAAATAGGCATTTTAATAGAATCGTAGTTGTCTAGTAGATTTATTTTTCTGAAGTACAGATAATCTACGCCAACTGTTTCATTTGTGGTTGAATCCTTATTCAAATATCGTTCAAAAAAGTCTCATTCGTATTTATCAGTTCAAATCCTTTGTTTCAGGACCAAAGTTAACTTTGCTAAAGATCATTAATGACTATAATCATCAGTTTATTGCAAAATCTCACTACATGAATTATTAATGGTGGTGAAGTTTTAACAAACTGTAAATTTAGACTTCGTTATTCGTAAACCCTTTTATATACCAAATATATTTACAATAAACGCAGAATTTCTTATTTACTAAAAAAAAAAAAATCCATCGAAGCTCTAGCAATTTAAGGTTATCATAAGCACTTGTACAATTGCAGTTCAAATCACGTTCTAGCTTGAAAACTATAGTCAGCCATTCATGATTTTCATGGTTAACCTTAGCTAAAGTTTGAACTTGAATTGAAATCCAATTGTACAACTGGTTCTTAATGACTCTGCAATTAACTGAAGATATATTGATTTATATAATTGTTTGTATCTTCAATTTCAACTCTTTTTTCACATTTTTGACATTAAAAAATAAATAAAATTGTTTTGTTAGTCGTACGTATTAATAAGGATTCAAGGATGACTTTTATTTATTTAAATAAAAAAAGCTTGTTTTCCCAGACATTATAAAAACTTTGGTTTATGATACAACTTGTTTGTGACGTTTCTATGGCGACCCTGAGGACAGGCCATCCACCTCTTAGAGCGTGTGGGATGAGCGTGATGGAGGGATCATTGGACGGATTTGATGGTCATTCGATAGATTCGGTTTCATTAACGAAACGTAGTTTCATCAAAAATAGTTTCTATTATTTTTATTTGCAGTTTTCTTTTCGACCATTATAGATTTTT